CAGCATCTCCAGAAGAAATTCACAATGACTAATTTTTATGATTGTTATCCTATATAATAAAAGCCTAATATGCAAAACAAAAGGGCACTATGACACGCACTGACCACCAGGGGGCAGATGCTCAATGCAGGAGCTGCCCCTAGCCCACAGGCCCCAGGCCAGCCAAGGCAGGTGCCAGTGGGGGCCCCCCTGGTCACCCCGCCAGTAACCCCACAGAGAGAGGTGACCGGCGGCAGCAGGAGTGGCAGGTGGCAGGGCTGGCAAACAGGCACCATTAGGCCTGCCGAGGCAGGTACCAGCACCACCCCCTATCACCCCGCTGGTCACCCCACAGATTGGCCCTGATCACCAGCCAGGCTTAGGGACCCTACCCTTTCATGAATTTCATGCACTGGGCCTCTAGTAAAGATATAATTCAATATTTATCTGTCATTTCATATGATTTGTGCTGGAAAGAGGTATATATTTGAGCTCAGTCTGACTTCCTTGGTTCAGTCTCATAGCCTATGTACTCTTGATTTTCCTTAGGTACCTTTAGAAGAAAAGTTAGTAAAATGGATTGTCAGTCCTCATGACCTTTGCTCATAATATTCCTGTTTACTTGTTTTATATACTCAAAGAAAAAATATATGACTGTTAATTTCCATTTGCTTGAGAGTTCTCACTAATTTTATATTTAAGCGAGACTCAGAGACTAAAATTATATAAAACCTGCACTTGGAAAGGAGATTCCAATTCACCTTCCAATATTCCCTGTCTTGATTAATACAAGTTAGAAACCTTAAGGACATTTGCTTCTTTTCCCAGAGACATATTGACCAGAGGTGTCAGATTCTTCAGTGACTCTCTTAAAATCTTTCCTTCCTTTGGTGTTCTGATTTCCTACTCATTTACCGTAGCCTTTTCATATTCCTGCACTAGATCTCTCCTCTGCCTGTCCCTTAAGTACAAAAGGTCTATTCGTGGCCACCATCTGTTCTTGTTCTTAGTCTGTGTGCATACTCTTGGGGGTGGTGGGAGTCATCCATGATTTTAAAAGCCACCAGTATGTTGAAGACTTTTAATTCAACAGCTCCAGCCCAGACCCCTCTCCTGAATTCCAGAAAGTCAGCCTTTACAACCACCTGCTGGATTTCTCTAATGATATCACATAGCACCCAAACCTCAACATTCCAGAACTAAACTCAGTATCCTCCCTTAAACTTACCCTTGCTTTTATCTTAGTTATTTTGACTAGTGGCATCACCCATTTGTGAAATCATAGAACATACACAGAACCTATGTTACATCCATGACTGCTCCTCCAGATCCTAAGTACAACCAATTTCCAAATCTGTCTCTCACCAAATTCAACCTTTTCTATATCCTAAGCACCTTTGGACTCTGTCTCCTTAGCTTCATTCATACTTTTTTGTCTTACTAGAGGCCCAGTGCACGAAATCCATGCACTCAGGGAGGGGGAAGGGGTGTCCCTCAGCCTGGCCCTCTAGCAGTCCAGGAGCCCTCGGGGGATATCTGACTGCCACGGAGGCGGGAGAGGCTCCCACCACCGCTGCTGCACTCATCAGCTGTGAGCTTGGCTTCTGGCTGCGCGGGGCTCCCCCTGTGGGAGCACACTGACCACCAGGGGGCAGCTCCTGCATTGAGCGTCTGCCCCCTGGTGGTCAGGGGGTGTCATAGCGACTGGCC